AGCCCGCGGCCAGGGTCGTCGTAGACGGTGTCGTTGGCAGGGGCGGTGGGCGCGATGTCGGGCGAGCCGAAGGAGGGGGGGAAACTGTCGGCGTCGTGCGGCCCGGGCATTTCAACGGCTAGCCGCGGCAGTTCGCTGCAACATTCTCTGGCGTGCTCCCATCACGAGATACGCTTGCGCTCTATTGCCTAAGTGTCACAGGCGATGGCGACGGCTTCCGTCGCGACCACGCATCCCCGTCGGGCGGTGGATTTGTGGTCGAATCCGAAGAGAAGCTGGGGCTGGGAACCGCTGGACTTCCCCTTGGATGACGTTGAGGCGCAGGCCTTGCCGGGGGAGGGTGCCGAGCGAGCCTTCGTCCCAAAAGGGCACTTCGCACGAGTCCCACCGCGCGAAGCAACTGTTCGGGGGCCCTTCGATGGGTTCGTCGCAAGTGCACACGCGCACTTTTGTTTGGCTGTCGCGGCCTCGCGCGCGGCGACGAGGCGGAGTAATGCACGCGCGCGCACTTAAACGCACTTACACACGGTAGCACGCACATGTATACACACACTTATACTTGTAATCCCACCAGCCCTCTGGGCGTAGGTGGTCTAGAGCAGATCCTCTTCCACCCCTCCCTCTTCCCCCTTGGGGAGGGGTTTACCCCTCCCCCTACCCCCTCCCCTGGACCTGGACGGGGGGGGCCGCGGGTAGTTAGAGCGTCCAAGATGGCCCAAGACGGCTCCAAGAGCGCCTCAGAGAACCCAAGATGAGCTCCAAGATGGCTCAAGATAGCGCAAGATCGCTCACGATGGCTCCTAAGATGGTTCCAAGAAGCCCAAAGACGGCCCCAAGATAACTCCAAGTGGCCAAACAGCTCCCCAAGGAGGCCCCGAAGAGGCCAAAATCGTCCCAAAACCTAAGGAAAATCAATGATTTTTGCTTTCTCGCCTTTTCGCTTCCGATGGCCATCCGAGGCCTGGAGATGGCTCCAAGATGGCCCAAGAGGGCCCCAAGAGAGCCCCAAAAGAGCCCCAAGACGGCCCCAAGAGCGCCCAAGAGCACTCCAAGAGCGTTCCAAGAGGGGTCCAAGAGGCGATTTTAGGGGCTTCCGAGGGGGGGCGCTAATTCACCCCCCCCTCTTGTTTGATCGACTCCCTCCAAGATGGCCCCAAAAGCGCCCCGAAGGCTCCCCAGAGCGCCTCAAGAGGGTCCCAAGAGGCGCCCAAGATGCCCCAAGGCGCCCAAAAAGCCCTCCAAGAGGCCCTCAAAAGACCCCCAAGAAGCTCCTTCCCCTCCTCCTCCTCCTCCTCCGATTCTTCCTCCTTCTCCGTCCTCCTCCTCCTCCTCCTCCTCCTCCTCTTCCCCCTCCTCCTCCTCCTCCTCCTCCGACGACGACGACGACGACGACTCCTCTTCCATCCTCCCCCTCTCGGGGTCTGTGACAGCTTCCCCCGCCCTTTGTTATTCTGCATGCTCCCCGACTTCCCTGATCACCTCAACTCCCCTGAGCATCGTTTCTGGATGGGCTGGTGGGGATACGCGAAGCGTCAACAATTCCACTTACACTTACACTGACACTTACACCTATGCCTACAGTTACACTTGTAGTTGCGCTTGAAACTTACATGCGCGCGTTGAGGCAACGATATTTTCATAAACTCCAGGGCGCGGTCCGCCCCACCACCGATCGATCCACAATATATGTTCTTGGAGATTTCAATGCCAAACTTGGTCGAGCACGAACTGGCGAAGAAGAAGCCGTGGGCCCGCATGTGTACACAACTACGCACACGGACAACAACTCGCAGTCGAACCCGAGTCCTTCGAGTAACCTGACCACTGGAAAACTTATTACCAACATTTGGGGATACCACGCAGTGCAAGCATAGATATTTGCCGGGAAGTTGTATTAGACACTCAACATGTTCTCCCTGTTGTGGGCACTTTGATACATTCAAAATGGAGGAATCTGAAAAGAAGAAGCGCGTCGATCAGACGTTGTTGAAGGAAGAGAAAGCTAAATCTACTTTCGTGCGCGCTTTCACGAATGCAGCTTGCGCTGGTTGCCAACTGCGCATTGGAGGTAGCCGCTGATGATATACAACCAGCGTTCCATGAGGCAGCGTCGAGTCTACCAAGCAAGGCCGATCAACCCAGAAGCCCATGAACAAGTCAGCGGACGCTCGATTTGATCGCGGGAAAGAAAATGTGTCACCAAACCAATAACTACACCCATGAAAAAATCCTCGGCGAGATGATCCGCAAATCGGGCAAACAAGATCGCAAAACATGGCTGGGCAATCTTTGGGTAAAGGTGGATGGGACGCTTTCTGATACCTTCGCAAAGCCAAGCTGGTGAAACGTGCAACTATCAACAAACCAAATGGGACGTTATCCTACACGGCCGAACGGGCAAACATCATGGAAGACTTTTTCGAAACAGTATAATGACAGAGCCTATAACCAGAACTACAACCAGAAGCGCTCCCGCCGCGTGGAGGTACTCTACCTGTCCAGACAAATCACGATGGACGAGATGCTGAAAATGTTACAGAAACTCACATGTGGAAAACCCGCGGGACCTGACGAGATGCCTTCTGATTTCTGGAAGGCGTTTACAAGTGATAGTAAGGCAAATCGTGCCTTCTGACATTTATTATTCTCAATGTTGGGTTCAGCAATCGATCCTGGACTTTTGGAGACGAGCCCACGTAGCTCTTCTACCCCCAAAAAAAACTGCATTACTGGAACTACAAACCCATTTCATTACTTTCCGTTGGGTGTACGATTTTGGAGGCACTGGTATATCAGCGGTTATTACAAGGTGGCTCTGAAAAACGCATGCATCCCTATCAATACGGATGTTGTTCGGGATGTGGAACAAAAGGAGCCCTCATGGTTGTAAGGCGCATGCTTGATGCTGTACGTACAAACTTGAATAGAAGACTATTGGTTGATGCTAGACTGGGCCAAACCGTTCGACTGGTTAAAGCCGGATTCAATGTGCAAGGCCTTGGAAAGATTCGGGCTTCTTGCCGAGATAATGTAGATGGTGCGCTCTATTTATTCGGTCCGCTTCTTGGTGATCTAGGACCATACTGGCACCTTTACCGTGAGACGGCAGAGCGCTGGAATCGCACAAGAGTGTCCGGTTTATCCTATCTTATTCGTAGCCATCCAGACCGCCATGCTGCACGACGCGATCGAATCGTTAAATTTGGAAGACGAACCCGGCTACGTGGTGACCCAGGATGTTCTCTGCGCCGACGACACACTTCTTGTGTCCCAAGCACCACTCCAACCTCCAGAACGTGTTGAACGCTATCGTGGAGGAGGGACGCAAGTATGGTTCGGAACTCAACTGGGGGAAGACAATGCAAATGTAAACATCAACAAGTCCGAAAATTACGACGCCAAGTGGTGATGATATTCGGAAGACAGTCCGAGACGCTGTCTAATTGGGAGGGTTACTTACGTGTGATGGGGAAGCGTCCGCAGAGGTATGCAGAAGACTGGGAGAAGTAAACATAACTTTCAAGCAGCTGAGCAAACGAATGCATTTGTTGGATGGTGACGAAAATTTAGGATCTACGAGAGCGTCGTGCTGAACAAGCTACTGTATTAGTTTGATTCCCTCTGGTCGTTGAAAACAGACAGATGCCGACTCGATGCTTTCCACTGCCGATGTTTGCGACGCACTCTTGGAATCCCATACTCGCTCATATCACGAATCAACAACGCTATCGTTCTCGGTAAGGCTGGGGCGACACCGCTTTCGCAAGCTTTGGATTGTAGACATATCCAGATGTACGAGACACTTGCTGCACATGGACCCACGTCTTTGGCAATGCAAATTGTCTGCGATGGCGATGGGTCGCAGAAAAAGTTGGCTCACAAGCGCAGGCGCGGACGACCGAAACAACAGTGGGTATCTTCAGCTCTCAACGTGTCGCCAGATGTCTGAGACGATCTAGCAGTTTTCTGCCTCCTCGTCAGGTTGCCACAGTGCGCCCTTGATTGCCTACGCCTCCGCCTGGATGCTTGGCTTTTGCTTGCTTATGTGCTTACGCGTACACATACACGTATTTTTACACGTGCACGCGCACTTACACTTGCCATTGCACTTGCATTTACACTTACACGCACGCACACTACACACTACACACACTACGCATTGCACACTACACGCTACGCGCTCCACACTAAACACTTGTACACACTTGCACTTGGACTTGCGTTTACAGTTACACTTACACTTACACTGACGCTTACACTTACACTTACATGTGCACTTACACTTGCACTTACACTTGCACGTCCCCTTGCACTTGCAATTACACTTACACTTACGCTTGCACTTACATTTACACTTGCAGGTGTATTTACGACTACACTGACACGTACACGTACACTTACACATGCACTTGCCATTACACTTACACTTACACGCGCTCACATTACACACTACACGCTACACAATACACTCTACACACACACACACGGTCGGCGTCAAAGTCGGCCATCCGTGGACTCCTCTCCTTCGCTTGCGCTGGGCTCCCTCTCCGAACACCCCGCGCCTTCGGTGCCACCCCCTCCCCTGGCGCGCTCCGCACACTGGGGAGCGGTGTGCGGGGAGGTGGCCCGGCACCAGCAAGGGACGCTCGAAATCAGCGCTCGCGTGCTCTTCCCGCCTTCCTGGCATCAGCTCCCTCATCTGCCGCGGCCCGAAATTGCTGACCCCGACGGCGCGGATCTGCCCCGCGTCCCGGGCGTCTGACAGAGCGAGCCAAGCCTGCCTGCGGCACTGGCTCCAGGTCTTGCAGCCGGTGATGCCGAGCTGCTCGGGCGACTTGAAGGGGCTTCCACCCGTGTGGAGCAGGACAAGGTCGACGTAGTCGACGCCCAAGTCGTGCAGCATGGTCTTGACCCACCGCGTCGCGTTCCCGCGCTCGAACAAAGTCTGCGGGAGCTTAGTGGTCAGAAATCCGCCACCGTGACCGCACGGCGCGGGCGCGTTAGGGTGCCTTTGAACTGTCCATGGACTCGGGTTTCCGGAAGGTTTCCAAGGGCCCCCCCCCCGCCTCAGAATTACACACGGTTCGTTGCGAGCACCGCCCCCTTCTCCCGATGTTCCTTGCCCGTGACAAAGTTCGCCGCAAGCGCCCGGACACGTCCTCCCGTCTCACCCCGTGGTCCTTTATGGCCTCCCGGATCGCAGCTCCCACCTGGCCGTGGTTCCCGTAGTGCTCCGCGGTGTCCAGCAAACGCCCCCCCGCGCGCAAGAACTCCAGTGTCGCGTCGTGCGCCCGGGTGCCCTTCACGGCCGACAAGCCGATGCCAGACATGGGTTGGGGTTGCCAAAACCTCAAGTGCAGTCAGCTTCCCCTCCCGGCCCGAGAGGGGGAAAGAGGGGTGGGGGAGGGGGGGAGGGCAAGGATGGGGGGGGTAAGAAAAAGAAAGGGAAAGGAGCGACGCCGAATCTTCTTCCGATTCTCCAGTTCTGCACTGCCTTCTCCGTGGGGCTGCAATCTATTTGGGCCACATTGGCACATGTTAGCCAGCGTGGGCCCCAAACAGTGTGATACAATAGAAAGTGGCGCAACATACGTGGTGCGGTGCAGACTTTGTGGTGCAATGTACGTGATGTAAGTTAGGTGGTGCACTCTGTGCCAAGCAATAGAGGTGGTAGAAGTTACGCGGTGCAATAGCTGCGTGGTGCAAGCTACGTGGTGCAATCCACATTGCAGAACTTGAAATTATCATTTTCAATGCTCGCGCAATCATCCCATCCTCTCACCCGCACCTTGATTTGCACAACCCATGTGGCGGCGGTTGCGATGACTGCTTGGAACTTGCTGGCGCATCGTGGCGGCCGAGCTAGCGCGCGGCCGCTCGCGCGAAAAACGGCCAGCTAATCTAGCTCGTCAATGGGTCTCGTTTGTAATTTGAGCGCCAACATGAGGCCGCGCAATGTGAAACAACACAGGGTGACACGCGTCATCACGAAAGCCGTGTGAGAAAACCAAATGTGTTACCCGTATTCTGGACGCCAACATCGGACCATACAATGTGAAAAAAACAAGAGGGGCACGGGTCACCCCAAGTACCGTGAGACAAACCAATTGATTCACTCGTACTCTGGACGCCATCCTGGGGCCATACAATTTGAATCAACACAATGGTGATACGTGTCACTCCGAACACCGTGCAAGAAAACAACGAATTGTTTCACTCGGATTCTGGACGCCACCAAGAGACTATACAGCGTGTAACAACACAAGGGTGGCACGTGTCACCCCGAACATCATTTGAGAAAAACTACCTGACTCACTCGTATTCTGGACGCCGACATGGGGCCATACAGTGTGAATGAACACACGGGTGACACGTATCACCCCAGAAAACCGTGTGAGAAAAAAAACAATTGTTTCACTTTGATTCCAGAGGCCAACATGGGGCCATACAATCTGAAATAAAACAAAAATGACACGTGTGATCCCGAACACCGGGTGAAAAAACAACCAACCGTTCCAATCGTATTCTGGACACGAACGCGGGGCCACACAATGTAAAATCATACAAGAGTGACACGTGTCACCACGAACACAATGCCATAGCAAATAATTGCTTCGCTGCGATACTGGACATCAACGTGGGGCCATACAATGTGGACCACCACAAAAGTGACGTCTGTCACCCCGGAAAAGGTGTGGGAACAACCCATTGCGTTACCCATATTCTGGACGCCAACATGGGGCCATATAATGCCCAACATGGGGCCATACAATGTGAAACAACACACGGGTGACACGTGCCACCCCGAAAACTGTGTGAAAAACACCAGAATCTGTTCATTCGGATTCTGGATGCCAGCATGGGGCCAGAAAGCGCGAAACAAAACAAGGGTGACACATGTGATCCAGAACACCGTGTGAAGAAAAAACTGTTTCACTTGCATCCTGTACGCCAACATCAGGCCATACAGTGTGACAATACACGGGTGACACGTGTCACTCCAAAAACCGAATGAGACAAATCAATTGTTTCACTCGTACCCTGGACGCCAAAATGGGATCAGAAAGCGTGAAACAGCATAAAAGGTGACACGTCGTACCCCGAAAACCGCGTGCGACACACAAGTTGATCCACTCGGAATCTGGGCGCCAACATGGGGCTGTACAGTGTAGAACAACAAAAAATGTCACGTGACACCACGAAAGCCGCGTGAAACGCATCAATTGGTTCGCTCGTATTCTGGGCGCGAACATGGGACCGTACCGTGTGAAACAAGCTTGAAGCTACAACGTGACACGAACCACCCCGAACACCTTATGAAGAACAACCCACTGTTTCACTCGTATTCTGGACGCCAACACGGGGCCCTTGTTTCCACGGCTTGCAAAAACACCGTCCGTGTCCTGGGCCTGGATTCGACCTGCCACAACAAGAATCCAGACAAATACCTAACGAACCCCGAAGACTTTTGAAAAGGCCTCACTGGGAGAGACCGGCACTTAATGACCGAGCGGGCCTTCCGACTGGGAGTGAAAACGCTGACGGGGCTTTGTGCCCCCCCCCACCCGTCCCGAACAGAGGCATCTGGTTGCTATAATGATTGGGGGAGCGAATACGGCTTCGCGACCGCCCCCGCCATGAAGATGGGGCAGAAGGGACAGGGGATGGGAGGGGAGGAGGAAGTACGGAACACCCCTCTCCTCGCTCCTCCCTCTTTCCGATTCGTCCCCCCTTGTCCATATTCCCTCTTCTCTCCTCGTTCTCCTCCTCTTCCTCCTCAGCCGTGGCCTTCAAGATAGTCCCAGGTGGGCTTCCAAACCCCGTTCCACCACCCCTCCCCTCCTCCTCCTCGCCGTTGAGGCCCGAGCTGGCTCGAAGAGGGCCCTAGATAGCCCAATATGGGCCTTCATCATATCCCCAGGAAGCGGAGCATGGCTCAAAGTACCTCCTACAGACCAGCAGCTGCTGGATGAGATGGCGGGGGTACTTTTTGCTCGCGAGCGCAAGCGGGAGAGCGGCGCGCCGTCAGGAATATCCAGCGAAGACCTGAATTACAGCGGCCAGGAACGAGGCTAGGCGCGCGCAGCGGGCGAGCAGCCGAAAATTGCACGCTACGCACCTGGGCTCAACCGCCGCTCAGAAGTCGAGGACAACCGAGGTCGAGTGTCGAAAGGATCGACAGAGCCCAACTGCGACGACGTCATCCTGGACGAATTTCTCCTCAGCTACGACACAGCATGTGCCGAATGTGGAGCCAGAACACCACCGCCGACGTCAGGGACAATATCGCGTAACCGCACCACGTAGGCGGGCGAGCCTCCAAATAAGTGCCAACTGGACCCCTACATCCAGAGGAAGTCCAATCGGCGATGCGTGCCGTCCGAGCAGGCGACGCACCGCGGGCCATGGCCCTCGCGCGGAACCAGCGTAGAGCGACGGGTGCAGAGGCCACGGTTGCACTGTGGTGGGCCCGGGATGATGGGGATGCGCGAAGCGCCGGTAATGTTTCGGTACAGGTTTGGGACCATGATCTGATCACGGGCCACCAATGCATCGAGTCCCGTACCCTGTCGGAACAGCTCCAACTCCTCTGATTCGGTCCCCGCCCCACTCGTGGCGACCAATGCGGTGCTGGTGTCTTATGGGCACGCAAGCAGCATGTTCAAGCTGGACAGCGTAGACCTTCAGGAACACGCCCAGCATGACGTACTCTTTTCCTATCGAAGGTCAGCTGACCGCGTTGCGGCCGCCGAAGCTCTTCCCTGCGAAACCGCCCCTGGCCACTACGATCTCGACACCGACGCTCGAGGTGCATGCGCCGAACGATGCTTCGCAAGGAACATGGCAACCGTAATGTTGAATGTGTCTCAGATCAGTACCGTGCACCCTGATGGGCTAACTACCATGCGCGTATGCATGTTAGCCGAAATCAAACGAGCCATTGTCTTGAAGGAAGATGGCCAGCTTACTGATCAAAACATGCGCAGTCATCGCGAACAGGTGTGAAGTGCCCCTTTTTTTTCCGGACTTGCGCTATGATTGAACAGCGGGTGCTCCGCGGACGCGCTATTATCCGACGTCCCAACATGTCATGACCTCCCAGTGCGTTTACAAGTGGAAGTTTGTAAAAGACTGAAGCAGGTAAGACCGCGAGAATGATGCGACTCCGCCTGGTATTGGAAGTTCAATGGGCCTGCCACCAGGGCAATGCTGCTCTCAATGGCCAAACCTACATGGGCCTGGCAGCGGCTACGGGAGAACAGGCGCGTACTGTACGTTTTCCACGACCTCCTGGAAGTGCCGTCGTCCGACACGCGCAGTCTGGCTTCGAGGGCAACGGCGAGTCCCCGCGTGGCCTTGCGCGTCTTGAGCCTGGCAGCGGCGCGCGGGGTGCCCCGCGGGCCTTAGCCCTCAAGCTCAAGAAGACAACGGAGGGCATCGGCCTCGAATCCGCGCCGTGCGACGCCGCATTTTGAGCGACCCAAGACGCGCGCGCAACCAAACACGCAGACGGCATCAACATGCGTGGCAAGGGAGGCCGTCGGGCGCCAACGTGCATAAAGTGAACGCGCGGCGACTGCAAGCCCAGCGAGCGCGCGCAGGAAGGCGCCGTGACGCGCTCGAAATCAGCGGAGGGCGACGCGATCATGAGTCGACATGACTGCGTCGATCGCCGTCGCCTGGAAGCGCGTCTCGAGCGCATCGCTGCATTTCCAGGTGCTGCGGCCAGTGGGGCTGTCAGCGACATATTCGACAGTCTTGGGGCTGCGCATGCTAATGGCGCTCTTGCGCAATTCTAGACTCTGGTGCATTTCGCGTCGCTGCGGCGCATGCGAAATCCGACCGGCCACCGGGCGCGGCGCTCAACTGTCCATGCTCGCAAGCGTCTGCAGGGGCCTGATAAGATCGCGCACCGCGCGATGATCCCAGGCGGCGCGGTGGACCTACGCGGCGACTCGGGGTGCTGAAAACTCATCGGAGAGGAGGGCGGCGAGGCAAACAAGTCATGGTCTTCGCAGGCGCAACCTACCGAGCCGCGGAAACACGAGCGGCAAGAAGCAGGTCGCCCCTTGCATCGACAACACGTTCAAATCTCATCGCCTCGAAGTCCGATCCAGCTGCGCCGCCGAATCACTCGCTGCCGCGCATCGCTTGGGCGAATGCAATTCCCCGAATGTAGCGCTACGTGGGCTCATGAAGAAGCAGCCGGCCCCTCTGGGCTCGAACATCTTCGTGGGCGATTTGGGCTCTGCATCATGTTGCCCTCTCCTGGTGATGCCGGACATGTTTGCAAGTCTCTCCATCGAGGGCGCAAATGCGCCTGCGGGAAAAAAAACGCCGCTGGGGCG